TGTATGGTCTCTTACAAAGATATCTACATTTGTCGATTTCTTTATAATTGATCTATAAGAATTACTTCAGTATTCAATACAAAATAAATTGCACTGTCCGTATTCTAGTGTTTATGAAAGTATTCAGCAGCACAATTGCGCCGCCTTATTGCATAGGTTCAACTTTTGGCGACTCCGCAATGCAGTGGCTCATAGCTTGCAGGATCTTGTCTTCCAGTTCAACCCCTTCATCTAACTTTAACCTTGCGATTATGTACTTTGGCAAGCGAGTATTATCGACGTTAATTTCCCAATCCTTTAGTCAATATGTCAAGTCTTTGCATTAAACAAGCGTAGAAAATGGAAAAATCTTTATCGTCTTCTGGAAAAGTCTCCATATTCCATATGCACGTAATATGTTCTTCATCCAACTCATTTTCTCGAATACAGTGCGAACAGGAGATTTCTAGTGCTCGTGTAGCCACAAAAGGCTCTGAAAAGGCCTAAATATCTTAATAATTATTGCTACTATATTATACTATAGTAACGGCACCTGAACATAGGTAATAAAAGAGACCAACAGCACCATTTTCATATTTATTGATGCAATACCTGTACTGCTTGTTACGATTAATGTTACACGCATTATATATAAATATACAGGGTGAATCAGAGCACCCGTCCCAGGCTTTTATCTTGGAATAGAGACGCCTTAGAGTTTTAGGAAAAAAATTTTCATTACCAAAGCCTACCTGAAGAATTTAATGGTAGTAGTCTCTATTTCCGGAATTAACCGGAAGTAGGCGTAACAGCACTCAACTTCAGAATTTCAAATGGAACCCTAGGTCTTGTGTGGTATCGTTGGATAGGTATTTTGAAAACAAACAACTTTTGTAGGAAACATTTTTTTTTGTAAAAAGTGTTATTTACGAAATAAAATTAATAAATATGTTATTTACGAAATAAAAATAAATAAATAAAAAAGCTGACTTAAAACCAAATGATTCCTGCTGTTCCCGGCTACTGCGATTTAATTCAAGTGTTTTTGTTTGAAAAGGTAAGACAGATATTGTTTTGTGTAAATAGCAACGTAGTTTTTTGTCATTATTACGACAGGTAATAGTAACTTTACACCTGCATTTTAATGTTAAATTTACATTATTTGTTTAAATTTTTCTTCCATACACACATGTGCAAAGGGTTTTTTATTGTAACAACATGGTATTTTCAAACCGCGAAGGTTTCGATATGCTGATGGTGTTGGGTGAGTGTCGTCAAAATTATAGAGCAGCTGAGAGATTATACGCTGAGCGATACCCTCAGCGACCCGTTCAGTCGAGGAAAGTGTTTCAACGCCTCGCTGATCGAGTTAAGATGACTGGTGAGGTACAACCGAAACACAATAAGAATCGGCGCATCGGACGGTATGTACAGGATGAAAGAGCGCCTGATATCCTTGCCGCTGTTGCTCTGGACCCACACGTTTCAACCAGGAGACTTGCAATCGACGCTGGGATGAGTCAAATGACAGCTTGGAGGATTTTAAATGGCAACAAATTATATCCATATCATGTTAATTTACATCAGGCACTTGGAGGACAAGATTTTCAGAGACGGTTAGATTTTTGCGAATGGTTATTGAACCAAAACCAAAACTTCCATCACAAAATTCTCTGGACCGATGAAGCAACGTTTAAAAGCAGTGGCGATGTTAATATTCACAACGCTCACTATTGGTCTCGTGAAAACCCGCATTGGCTACGTGAAGTGGATAACCAGAATGTTTGGAGTCTTAATACCTGGTGCGGCATTTTAGGAGGCCGAATTATTGGTCCGCATTTCTTTGACGGCCATTTAAACGGGGCCGTGTACAACGATTTTCTGGAGAACATCCTCTATGACCTTCTAGACAACGTCCCAATTGCAATACGTGCAGAGATGTGGCTGCAACAAGACGGTTGCCCAGCACATTTTTCGAGAGTATCTCGCCAAACTGCCAATCGTCTCTTTCCTAATCGCTGGATGGGAAGAGGAGGTCCGTTTCCTTGGCCAGCTCGTTCCCCTGACCTGACACCACTTGACTTCTTCCTCTGGGGACGAGTCAAAGATATTGTTTATCAACAGCGCCCAACCACGAGGGAGAATATGAAGGAAAGAATTCGAAACGCATGCCGTTTGCTCAATGAAAATGAGGTGCTTAGGGCAGTCGACAACGTCCGACTTCGGCTACAAAACTGCATCAATCAAAATGGAAGACATTTTGAACATATTAATTAATATTTATTTCGTAAATAACACTTTTTACAAAAAAAAATGTTTCCTACAAAAGTTGTTTGTTTTCAAAATACCTATCCAACGATACCACACAAGACCTAGGGTTCCATTTGAAATTCTGAAGTTGAGTGCTGTTACGCCTACTTCCGGTTAATTCCGGAAATAGAGACTACTACCATTAAATTCTTCAGGTAGGCTTTGGTAATGAAAATTTTTTTCCTAAAACTCTAAGGCGTCTCTATTCCAAGATAAAAGCCTGGGACGGGTGCTCTGATTCACCTATATCCTTATTCTTGTCGATGAACTCTTCTATTTTGAATTTCTTATTTAAATAAAAAAGACCAGTGATTTGGATGAAATAAATTAAAAAAAAAAAATAAATAAATAAATATTGAATTTCATCCAAATCGCTGGTCTTTTTTATTTATATATCATTATACCTACTATCACATTCAGATAGCCACTAGGGTTAGAGGTTGCAATTTGATATAAAAGAGAGATATTTTTTATGGAGTATGAAGGTACCAGGAAGTTGGAATAAATTGTAAGCTACTCAAAGACGTTACAGGAATCGTTCTGCGTATGAATAACAAGGGGAATGAAGGATATATGCTATGCATTTGCGGTTTATATTCATTTTATGGTAAAAGTACCAATTTTCGCATCGCAAGAATAAGAAGGGGTTTTATTTTTCCAATGTTCTGTCTTTATTATGGAAAAAATTGAAAACTAATACGGTTGATTGGCGTAAAAAATTTTTTTCTACAAAAAACCTTAATACATTTTTGCTCTAAAATAATTTGGAGAACCAATAATCGCATGTTATGAATTTTACATTGAAATCCCTATGATGCGTTACGCAAGTCACCACCCGGTATAAAAAGGGGGTTGGTCCTATAATTACGAGCCGAGTGAATTATAAAGGTGAGTGGAATAGAAAAAGTTTAGTGTCAAAATTCATCGAAAAAGAAGCAACACTGTAATAAAGAAGACGTGCTTCGGTTTCATTGTCGGCATCAAAAAACCTCCCATTCGTAAATGAACATTTGATTAATCCAACGCTTTGTTATTACCCGCCTGAGAATTATTAACACCAGCTTGGGTTGGGAAGATATCAAGTAAAATTGGGGAAAGCATTATACAAAGCCCCGTTGCCAAAACTACCCCAAGAAATATACGAAAAGAGGTGAGAGCGGTGCAGTAAATTTACGTAGAATTGCGAAGTTTGGTTGACACAGCACCCATCCTGAAATTAGAGCTAAGAATCATATGGCCGCAAACAGTAATAAAGGTATCTATTATTTTTCTTTATCTACGTTCTGCATGTGAACTAGAAGTACCTATATAGACATAATCATTGAATTGTCTAGATATGGTTTCTTTTGTCTTTTTAGCGTGGTTATAATAAAATGCTTAATCAATTAGTTTAATAAAAATGGTTAAATGTTTTTATGACGGAGTTTGGGTACAAAATAATTTAATGCAGAAGTGCATAGCATGGTACCTGAAAAATGTACCAAACATGATTTACTTACATCGCATATTTCGCTCTCAGGCATTGAATATCCTTGTAACATAACCGACAGTGGGGCTCAGTGGTAGAGCGTTGGGCTACAAAGCCGGGAGGTTGGGTGTTCGAACCTGGTCTGAGATGAATTTTTCATTTGTGGCAGAGATGGGGATTTCCTTAGATCAGTTTCGAGCATTCTGTCAGCTCCTCCGAATTAGGTTTTCCTGCAGTTTCCTAATTCGTAAAGTAAATACCGGAGTATAGAACAACTTAAGACCTTCTGCAGGGGACCTTTTGGCCGCTTAACGACAGTTTTGCCAGAAACGCTGGAACAGATCAATTTTAGTTTTGAAGCGAATATCTAAATTCAATAATAACGGGCGATCAAACATCGGTGGCGGTCGAGTCGCCTTTGAAAGTTTAAGTTAAGTTCGATTTCCCATGTAAACAATAATTCCAAAGATGACTCTATAGCAACTCATTTTTGATCGCATAGTTTGCGTAACTTTAACTCTGAGAAGGGGATGAATTGCACCCCAAAAATTTCAAATGGGACGGGTTGGTCAACGTTAGATAGCTTCAAAAGAATGTTCATTCTGTATTCAGTACTGTTTTTATTTTTCAAATCGGATCAGTAGGTCTAGAGAAATCTCGATTTAAATGGATTTGCAGCGCTGTTTTAAATGTAGGCGTTATAGTAGTAGAGGATAGCTTGTGTCCGAAAGTAGCATCTGGCACAGGAGCATAAGTGCTATAATTAAAAAAATAAATAACAAGTCAAAATTTAGGGTGTAATTTTCAGGGTTGAATTTACGTAAATAATATTATTTAATTAAGATGTACCACTAAAAACTAAAATTGATGTGTTTGAAAGTTTCGGGCAAAACTGGTGTACCGGCCAAAATTGGCATTGACTGTTATCAATGGTCCATCCTGTATCTGAATTCTATATTATAGCGCATATAAATTCGAGCCGTTATTAAAAGTGGGCAGCACTCAAATAATTTGAGTTAAAGAAGGATGTTGCCTAAATTACTTAACGACTTGAGGTTATACTCCAGCACCGAAACGCCTTATCTAAAGTTAAATCAAAATCGCCAGATTCAGCGCGCAAGTCAGCATGAATTGTGATTCATTTTTTGAACTTTTGCCACATTATCACTAGCCACACACGCATTTGATATACATTTGTAAAAAAATCTATACAACAACGTGTGTGAAAGCGGCGGCGTGCCACGAACGTTTCTGCTGATTGTTTCGACCTATAAAGTAAACATTTAGCTTATTTATAACAGATAAGCTCAAGCTAGAGTTCAATCTAAGTGAGGATCAGTATTAACTGTGTTAGTTCACGTCTTCACGTTACAATGCAATTTAATTTTAATTAACTGGTTGATTCCAAATTTGCCGTTATGTATCTGGTATTAATTGGGACGGTACTTCTTATTACACATGTAAGTAAAACGATATCATTGGAAGCCATACTATCAATCTTATTTGCCCTATTTTCCGTTAGATATTTGTTCATTCAGCCAATTGCCATGTTTCAGACTACAGTCTACGGTCTTCCCTTAAATGAAAAAGAACGAGCTTGCGCAGAAAAACACAATTTGAGTACAAAAAACATCGAAATGTGGAACATCGAGCCCCTTATTCCAGAAGACAACGTCGAAATGCTGGAGTACATGAGCTGCTACTGGAAGAATTTGGGATATCTTACGGAAGATGGAGAAATTGATTTTGTGAAATTGGGCGACGTCGTGCACGCTGATTTAAACGCTAGGTTTCATGCGGAATTTGGGCATATCGTGGCGTTTATTATGGACAATTGTAAACAAACCGTACACGGCGAGACAGACGGTTTGAGGGCTGTGAAAATGTGGAATTGTTTAAATGTTTATACCGAAAACTTATTTTAGTTTATAAGTCGAAAGTGTTTATATGCTATGCATATTTATTTAATTTACAAATTATCTATATTTATTCTTGTGATCTGGTTATTACTTTGATCCTAATTGTAACAATTGATTTACAACGTTGTGCATAAAGTATGTTTCAACGCAATTAAATGAGTAAACAAAGTGTCACATGTGCGATGTTGGTAATAATTCAGCTTTTGAATGTTGCCATTTGTGTCTCCACCATCGGTAATTTGGAATGGAAGGCTTCTTTTGCTACCATCACTACGTGAAACTGTAATAGACACCGGTTGAAAAACAAGAGAAGTGATGCAACATATGTATGGAAGGAAAATGGAACTATTGTAAAGGGAGAGTATCTCTTGGTCCTAATCCTAACACACAACGTTGATGTATCAAATCAGTCCAGATGTGGGCGCGTACATATCTTAGAAAGAAAATGATAAGTGGAAGGGATTAAAATCTGAGCTTCTTCTTTGACGACGCTACTACCAATCTGGCTGTAGAATATGCTAGATATTGTATAGGGTAGTATTTAGCACATCAGGAAATTGTAAGATCTTGACAGATTTGGACATTTGGCTTCAAAAATGCCTTGCGTTTCATTAAATCTATCTGGATATGCCATTTACTAGTGGCACAATCAGGCCACATTCACCAACTTCATCTTTTGCTTTGAGTTCAAGATTTCTGCCCCCTCGTCCATTCTTGTTCATGCTGATATCTTTAGGATTTAAAATGAATCGGAGTGAAGAGGGGGATTTGTTGTACTTCGCATTGTGAAAATGCTGCCTGCAAAGTTTGCTGTGAGGCATTTTCTTCTTTGGAACTTACATTCGGGATTATAAGATTGACTAACAGTTGACTTGTTGGTTCCCTTCAGACACTCACGTCCATAGTCTTCCAACAGTTGACATTTTCTTGGTTTCATGGTACACCTCACATTCCCTTTGGCCTTGGACAGATAGCAAAAATCGCCTAACGTAACCTTGCCTATTCCTATAGTCGATTCGCTTCCCCGAAATGTACTTCGCCACAATTGACATAAAACCCTCTATCACATTGCAGGTGGTATCAGTAATGAGTCTTGGCGACCGATTTGTAAGGCGATCAAAACATTCCTGGAGATCTTTGTGAAGGTTATCACCACCTCCCTGACTGACATAAGGCTGTATGTACGTTTCTGTGTAAAATCTTTTGTCACTTAAGTTATTTTTCTATATTATTTACCATTAAACTTATGTTCCCCTAAAATGTGAGGCATGACATTGTAAATATCTTCTGAGGTAGTGACAGCAGATGTTTCGTAAGTTCAAATCTTCATTATCTGTATTTTTGCAGTTGTATGTTCTTGTGTCTTCCAAACCTATCAGAATTCACAATGCTATTTAATTTTTTATATGAAGGATTTAAAGGGTCATATCGGTTTTTTTCTCTCCAATAATTTTCTTGTGTTTTTTAGGGTAGGATGTGTTCTGCATGATGTTGTGTATCTTCTAGTTCAGACCCCTTACAGCAGGCGTGGGCAACCCACGGTCCGCCGATAAGTTTTGTCCGGCCCGCTAACATAATTCAGAGTTAATACTTCATAGCGCCCACAAGTTACATTTAAAATTCTAATTAATTAATTAATATGATTATGTTACACGTGCAGCATCTAGTGGGCGCGATCCGAAGTTTCCAAGACGTTTGAAAACCTAGTTAAAGATGCATTTCTTGTTCAGAGATATCGCCAGGTATTTTCCAGAATTTTTCTCGCGATAGCGGGTGGGGTATACAACGACACGTTTTTGAGATTAAGCAACCTTTTTAAGCCATATAATGCAACAAATCTTAAGAGCATAAATGAAAATTTGAATACAAGCTGAATATGCGGGATTATTTATCCACGTCTGCTAAATGTTGTATGCAAAATCGTGTCAATTTTCAGGAGTACTTATTGTTTTTTTTAATGATTTTTACGAAAGAAAAAAATAGATAGAGGCCAAAAAGAAATAGATAAATATTGATTTCGTTAAACATACTTTTTATTTGGATTTTCAAGTGTGAACCGTAATAATAATAATAATAATAATAATAATAATAATAATAATAATAATAAATAATAATAATAATAAGATAGGTCCACTGAATAAAGTTACACGTCCTAGCACAGTTAAAAAACACAAAACTCCTTCTTCACATAAACACACCACGTTATCACAACCCACTCGTATACAACCCAAACGCAAAGCCAAAGAAACACTTACACAATAAACTCTATTTAATAAAAGTACAGGAATTATTATAATGATATTTTTGTTGTTTTCTTCTTTCCTGATAGCGTTGACTATTGTGGCCATTAATAGCTATGATGGTAAGTATGAATTACATACTATCCCTAGATTTCCAATGTGAGTGTGCGAATATTTATTTTATTTTTTGTTTTTCATTTTTCTTTAGAACCCTACATAACTTCACCAGACACAGACACAGACACTAATCGTTACTTGATTTTAATCCGTGCGATTAGTTAACCAGGCTAGACCTGAGTTCTCACAAGAAACACCGACAATAATAATAATAATAAATGTCTCCACCAATAACCCATGCAACAACAGAAATACAACTTCAAGAACAAAGAAACACCATAAATACAAGTAACGCAACATGCACTACAAAGACAGGTCCATCCAATAAAGTTACACGCCCTAGCACATTTAGAAAACACAAAACTCCTTCTTCACAGAAACACACCACATTTTCACAACCCACTCGTATTCAACCGAAACGCAAAAACCTTAACAGAACTACAGGCTCACAACATGCTAAAATATCTCCAGCAAAAACCCAAGCAACCTCTCAAATACAACCTCAAGAACAAAGAAACACCATAAATACAACTAACGCAACATGCACTACAAAGACAGGTCCACCCAATAAAATTACACGCCCTAGCACAGTTAAAAAACACGTAACTCCTTCTTCACAGAAACACACCACATTTTCACAACCCACTCGTATTCAACCGCAACGCAAAAACCTTAACAGAACTGCAGGCTCACAACATACTAAAATATCTCCACCAAAAACCCAAGCAACTTCACAAACACAACCTCAAGAACAAAGAAACATCATAAATACAAGTAACGCAACATGCACTACAAAGACAGGTCCACCCAATAAAGTTACACGCCCTAGCACAATTAAAAAACACATAACTCCTTCTTCACCGAAGCACACCACGTTATCACAACCCACTCGTATTCAACCCAAACGCAAAGCCAAAGAAACACTTACACAATAAACTCCATTTAATAAAATTACAGGAATTATAATGATTTTTTTTGTTTTGTTTTGTTTTCCTCTTTCCTGATAGCGTTGGCTATTGTGCCCATCAATAGGTATGTTGGTAAGTACGAATTACATTATCCCTAGATGTCCAATGTACGTGTGATTTTTTTTTTTTTTTTTTTAATGACCCTACATAACTTCACCAGACACAGACACTAATCGTTACTTGATTTTAATCCGTGCGATTAGTTAACCAGGCTAGACCTGAGTTCTCACAAGAAACACCGATAATAATAATAATAATAATAATAACTTGCACTACAAAGACAGGTCCACCCAATAAAGTTACACGTCCTAGCACAAATAAAAAACACAAAACTCCTTCTTCACAGAAACACACCACATTATCATAACCAACTCGGATTCAACCGAAACGCGAAAACCTTAACAGAACTACATGCTCACAACATACTGTAATATCTCCACCAAAAACCCAAGCAACCACACAAATACAACCTCAAGAACAAAGAAACACCATAAATACAAGTAAAGCAACATGCACTACAAAGACAGGTCCACCCAATAAAGTTACACGTCCTAGCACAGTTAAAAAACGCAATACTCCTTCTTCTCAGAAACAACCCACTCGTATACAACCCAAACGCAAAAACCGTGACAGCACTACTAGCTCACAAAATACTGCAATATCTCCACCAAAAACCCAAGCAACCACACAAATACAACCTCAAGAACAAAGAAACACCACAAATACAAGTAACGCAACTTGCACTACAAAGACAGGTCCACCCAATAAAGTTACACGTCCTAGCACAATTAAAAAACACAAAACTCCTTCTTCACAGAAACACACCACATTATCACAACCAACTCGGATTCAACCGAAACGCGAAAACCTCAACAGAACTACATGCTCACAACATACTGTAATATCTCCACCAAAAAACCAAGCAACCACACAAATACAACCTCAAGAACAAAGAAACACCATAAATACAAGTAAGGCAACATGTACCACAAAGACAGGTCCACCGAATAAAGTTACACGTCCTAGCACAGTTAAAAAACACAAATCTCCTTCTTCACATAAACACACCACGTTATCACAACCCACTCGTATTCAACCCAAACGCAAAGCCAAAGAAACACTTACACAATAAACTCTATTTAATAAAATTACAGGAATTATTATAATGATATTTTTGTTTTGTTTTCTTCTTTCCTGATAGCGTTGACTATTGGGGCCATTAATAGCTATGTTGGTAAGTATGAATTACATACTATCTCTAGATTTCCAATGTGAGTGTGTGAATATTTATTTTATTTTTTATTTTTCTTTAGAACCCTACATAACTTCACCAGACACAGACACAGACACTAATCGTTACTTGATTTTAATCCGTGCGATTAGTTAACCAGGCTAGACCTGAGTTCTCACAAGAAACACCGACAATAATAATAATAATAATAATAATGATAGATTAGATGGAAACGAATTGACACGAATGTCTTATGCTGGTCTTATGGAACGTTTGTTTCTCGGACGAGACTGGAATTTCTTCAACAGCCCGGGATCCTTTGTTTTCGGAACTATGCCTTGACATGGGTACTCTTTGCCTTGACACATCCAACGTAACTATCAAATACACGAGTTGTAAGTGTTGGTGGTGCCATCGACAGTATCGAAGAATTCAGGATAAATACCCATTGGAACATCCACAGTGAGCGGCTCGAGTAATGCATAAGTGCAAATTTCGTTCTGGCTCCGCTTTGCGTCGTGCCCTTAAACTCGTTGCGCGTGCTTTAAAGACTTGATTATACACTTGTATCTTAATATACTATTAATGCTCGGCGTGTTTTAAATTTTAATCGCCTTTTTACGCACGCTCAAGCGTGTTTTAAACAGCGATTCTGATGCAGGTATAATTAAAGGGATATTTTAACCATTGAGTGAATTAACTTTCACTTTACCGTCGTGCATAATAGAAAACTTCATTTTATAGCAGAAGTCATATTGTAAAGCTTCTGATAATTTTGAATTTAACTTAGACCTTAAACCTCAGAAATAGCAAGCTTTGGTTCTGTTGTCGCGGACGTCTCCATAGAAACAGCATTCATATGTTCTGAACGTCATTTTATATCGCATACTATTTTAAATAAGAAATAGAGATGTTATTAGAATGTGCCATCGTTTGTTTCACTTTATCTGCCCTCACGGTTAAAGAGCGGCTTAGCCTACTCATTCAAACCCATTAAAATGTCAATTTAACATAAAATAAACTTAGGGGATTTTTGTGAAGGTGTATCCAGTAGGGACATGTTGCGGTGTGGGTCTTCAAATTGCAGTTTTCGGTACCATTATTTTTTTATTGATTTTTACAATCACATGCACAACCCCCTCCCCTTGTAAATATTCAACGACTTACAACTACAGCTTACCCTAGAAATGATTGGGTTAGTGTTAGGTTTGTAGCCTCTCCTCTAAAGGAGTGAAATATGCAAGTACAAGTGTTAATTGGCTGAGTACTAAAAATGGTGTATGCGAAATTAACTTAAATTCGATTTTTCAAATAGAGCTCTGTATACATCTTGCAGCGGTCGTCGCTTCCATAGGCAGCCGTAACCATTGTACAAATATTTTCCAGCTCACAAGTCGAATTACACCCTTGCGATATGAAATAATCTGAATCCCTGAATTTGTACCTAAGGATGATCAGGAGTTAGACAATATTGCAAGAACAATTAGGATTAAGTACCTGAAGTATAACTGAGTCAACTTCTTGTCTTTGGTCATACGTTCCACTAAATTTGACAGTTCCTGTGGGTGCAAGCTCGATACATTGTATGCGCTTTTAAAATCATACAGCTTGTACCATTTTGGCTTAAGGGATGCATTTTGGTTTGCATCGGTCATGTTGTACATCCATGATTCAAAATTGGCGACCTCCTAAAAGTAAGTTGTGATGATTTGATCTAATAATATCAACTATTTAGTACCATTCCTCGATTGTTCACATCGTACACCTTGTAATTCGGATTTAAATAGGAATACGTCGTAAAGCTCCCCCCGTTAAAGGCCACATTATTGGCCTGACTTCGATTTTCATGGCTATAGTATATTACCGTGTCATCTAAATGGGTGTGCCCAGTAAATTGTGCAGAAATAACGTGGGAAAATCTGCAAAGTTAACCAATGAAGCAATAGGAATGTATTATCTCCTATAGTACCTATTTACTATCTTAGCGTACTGCCTACCCCAATTCCTTACACAAGTGTAATCTCCGGAAGGTACGTGTGTAAGGATGTGAACCTTTTCCTTCTGAGTTTCCGCATAGAGTAGAGTGTTGATCAACCATTGCAACTGTCCATATGGATCAAAATCGTCATAGAACAACCAAAAGTTAAAGTTAAAGCAAACGTTACTGTTTAGTGCAATAATGCGGAAGCCTGGTTTCACCAAGACCGTATAATATCCACCCTTCAATATTGTTTTTTGAGTATCTGCTGGTAACCATGCTTGCCAAAGCTCCGCGACTAATCTAAATAACCAGACTGTCTGCAAATTCGGATCAACCTTTTCTGGTGCAAACCTGAAATCCACAATATTATACAGAAGAACATTGTAAGTACCCAGAGTTTACAGGTTTGCAGGGTGCGCTTCGTGATTTCCTAAAATGGGATATACTGGTACATTTCCAAAAGTATTCTTCAACTCAGTATACACCTTGGTAATGTCGGTAACACACCCTATTTCGCTTGTATCGTACACCTTATGGGCAACGATGTCTCCAGTGAAGTATACATACGAGATGGGATGCTAAAATGAATCTATTATAATTCCTTTGATCTCTCGTGTAGGTGGACATACGTGTTCTTCTTTAACATGCGTTAGTAGATCGAGAAATGAGTGCCATGGAACATCGCAATCGCGATAATCTCCCCAATAGCCGGCTGCAGTCGATTCTGAGCTGGGCACGGTACCTATTTGACAACAAATGAATAAACCGCAATCAGCATTCGATCCCACTTGATAATGAGAGTCGTAGTGTATATCGGTGATCTGAAGTATTTTCACAGAGCCACTTTGTGTGTCCTAAAATTGAAAGTTTGACCGAATCTTCTTTGTTAAAATTGTGATTTCTTACAATGGGGAGGTTATTCTGCACCTGAGAGTCGTAAGGGGGAAGCTTAAGGTCCCATTCCACTCCAAAGGGGTCCGCACAGTGTAGATCTTGGAATACAATCGAACATACCTTGCTAGGTGTTAAAAATAACCTGTTGTCTATAATGTATAGTATTGTGTCGACGTTCATGTTAATGAACCCTTTGCATTCTTCTTCTGAAACCAGTTTCAACGTGATGCAGAGCTCGGTAAACATAAAAACGATTACATCTTTTGGAGTTCCTATTCTCCGTATCGTTATAATTGTGCCGACAAGAGTATTGCATAATGCACACTCGGGTGGTTCGAATTGGCGCCCTTGTAAGCTACGTTGGCGAACCATTGGTCGGAACTCCATTTCTTCCATTGTATTGCGCAGTGTTTTGGGCATTTTTCTTGTTTGTATTAATTGAAACAGGTCCTCGCGAATTGCGGTTTCCCAATTGTCTTCAGTAAATTAATTAGTTAAATGTGATAATTTCTCTAATGACTTACCATCTTTTGCGGTTTCTATACGGTTTAATAAACAAAAAAAGGAAACCACCACCATAAGAAACATACTGCCGCGTTTAAGGCTTCCCACCCAACACAATTTTTCAGTGTAGACTGTTGAATCGTACTTAGCGCCTTTATATACTTGTACCGTTCAATTTAAATACACCGTTTGCTTATCATGGTGTTTCATTTCGGCTTCCATCTTATTTTTATTACAGATTATGTCCTACAGATAATCCTTCTAAATTTACGCAATTTGGCTAAATTACAAAGCTATGTCAAAATCTTGAGCTTCGAAGCATAAAAGATTTGCCTTTATGATAGATAATACCCAGCTCATACGTAGCAAATAAATAATCCAGTCGAGATGATGTTTCTTAACATTTTCAGAGACCTAGACAGGATACAATGAGCGAGTTAAGTGCAAATCAAGCTGTACCTTCTTACAAAGTTAGAAGACCACAGGAAAAAATGCATACCTAACACTACTGGATATTATACTACAGGCAGACCAACGTGAAAACTCTGTAATATTCAAAACATCATTTCTATCAAAGACTATCCCCTTATACATTCATAGGAAAGTCACAATTTAATAAATTTTTCCACTTTCAATTACAGCCACTGAATTATTCAGGACAAATAATGTAATCACTAAGATGATCTTACACAAGCCGAATAATTCATCGGCAAGTCTTAGTGTAAAGGTTTAAATGTAGTCATTGAAGCTCTTATAACTATATAAAAACCACACCATTAGGGATTTTCTTGGTAATGAAAATTGCGATATTGGAACGATAGGAACCAGTAGGTCATTGGGCCAGATAACTTCCTCTTCAAGGAATAGGATGGCGATTACTTTCGCAGGAGTTTAGATCATTGTGACATTCGAAAAGAGCAATTTTGCTGTAGAATATGCATATGGCTGATATAAAAAAAATAGAGAAATTCGTTATTCAATATTTGGAAAATTTATGAAATCTGGCATGCCGTGTGCTGTCAGGATACACGGCACCTATTAAACGGGGAGATCGTATCGTGCAAAAGTAAATCTTAAAAACGAAACATTGCACAAGTTATTGTAGGTCTTTTCATTTCATAATTTATTTATCTAAATATTGAATCACGAATTTCTCCATTTTTGTTGTATATCAGCCATATGCATATTTCTCCCAAAAATCTGACAAATGCATCTTTCAAATCTAGAAATTTACAATTTATTTGTACATGAGTGAGTCAGTTTTAGCTCAAATATTCCCTTTGTGTCGAAAAACCCGATGTATGACATTTTTCGGTCGGGAAACCCTTTGTTTCGAGTCCCGCCACCTTAAACTTCACATTTTTCTCAGTTAAAACGCGTTTTTTAATCGATTCATGCCGCGGGAGTCACAATTTCATATGTCGGCTGTTTACAAAATGATTTAAGGAAACCTGACAAAACGGTCCCATTTCTAACAAAAACGTCTTTTTTTAAGTAAGTTGTTAGAAGAAAATGTACCTAAACTTAAGTCTCACTAATGTCGGCGAACACTGAATTATCTCCGGATATTAAACTTGTCTTGTGCCTAAAAAAGATTCACCTTATTGATTTTCTGTCGATTTCAATTATTTTAGACAATTAGATGCTGTATCTAAAAAAGACGCATATCCTTTGCTATACGTATCAGCTATTTCAGATCCGTTACGTAACGCCCAGTACATTAGCAACCTGGATATCAAATCAGCTTATTGGCAAGTGCCACTCATCTCGTGAGTATACCGCCTTTGCTATTCAGGAAAGAGGTTTATACCATTTTAAATGCATGCATTTGGATTAACGAACGCACCGGCTACGCTTTATTCTTGAATGGCACCTTCGTGCGAAACTTCCTCTGTTTGCCACAAACAAAGTCTAATTAAAGCTTCACTTCTTAGTTGTCGTGACCTTTTTGTATCCTTTACTTTGCAAACTGACGCCTCTTCGTTTGAAATTGGTATTGTGTGGATCCAAGAGTTTCCAGAAGGTGAAAAGGTAATTTTCCATCTTTCTCGATCAATTAATTAATTAATTAAAACTAAAGCTGAAGGGTTGGTATTCTTGACAACAAATGAAAGCTGACGTTGTTCGTTATTTAAAATGCTGGCTAGTATATGCTTCTCAGCAGCCAGAACATAAGACTCCTGCTGAACATATAGGAGATATGAAACCCGTCACTGCCCCTTGGAAAATAATTAGCTTAGATTTCATCGGACCACGGTCGACCCATTGTTATGTTGGTTGCTGTTATATACTCGTTGTTATCAATTCCTTTAGTAAATATGTAGTATTATTTCCTCTACGTACTGCTACCGCTAGTTCTGTAATGCTGCGTTGAAGGAGGTATATTTTTAGTTTATGGTGGTCCTCACACTATAATTTGCGGTAATGAATTTCAACGTGGTGTGAGAACTGCCAAACAGGAAACCATTCGTTACACTCTTCATTACGGTACGGTACTACTTTGGTAGGGATCCGTCCATCCCATACCCAAAGAACTTGAACTGGAATGCAACCATGCCAGTTACCATTTGAAACGTTGTTCTCAGATATCAAACGAAAACTTATTTCCGCTTACGAACGCAATAAAAAGCTTTATAATTTGCGTCGACGTCATGTCGAATATCAATCAAGTTGGCGACCTAGTTTGGCGGAAAAATGCAAGCGTTTCGGACGCCTCGGAAATCAATTGTCCAAAGTTAGCACCTACTTTTGTTGAACCATACAAAGTTAGGAAAACACTGGTTTTGTACTTGCAAACTCGAAGACGGTTAAAGAATATCTTTATTCCGCAAGGAATTATATTAGAACCCGAGTGCTACGAACTAGCGCCTCCAGAGCTCCATAACAAACTATAGAACGTAAGCTTTTATACAGCAATTCAAATTTTATTAGTTCTTTGGACGAGTGTCGCATGTTTCAAAAGAATCTACCTGTGATATAGCCTCGAGCTCAATTTATTGTTATGAGGAATTCCAATCTTCGACAAACCTTATTGCCTTATGATTGCGAAGTCAGCCAGGGAGAAGAAGTTTCTAATCGCACGATACGTGTTCTGAAGGAATTAATTCTAAATTTAACTATAATTAATTAAATAATAATAGGGGTATACAATCACATTTTCAGCGCCCTCCCACTGTGATTACAACGTTATCAAAATATGCAAGTACAAATGATAATTGGCTGTGTACAAAAAAATGGTGTGTTAGAAATCAACTTAAATTGCGATTTTTCCAATAGAGCTCTGTATACATCTTGCAGCGGTCGTCATTTCCAAAGACTGCCGTCACCATTGTACAAATATTTGCCAACTCACAAGTCGAATTACATCCTTTCGATATTATAGGATCTGCATCTCTGTATTTGTACCTAAGCGTCATCAGGGGTTAAACAATATTGCAAGAACAATTAGTCAAAGTCTTTTCTTTGGTCATACGTTCCACTAAATTGAATAGTTCCTGTGGGTGCAAGCTCGATACATTGTATGCGCTTTTAAAATCATACAGCTTGTACCATTTGGGATTAAGGGATGCATTTTCGTTTGCATCGGTCATGTTGTATGTCCACGATTCAAAATTGGCGACCTCCTAAAAGTAATTGGTGATTTGATCTAATAATACCAACTATCCAGCACCATTCCTCGAGTGTTTACATCGTACACCCTGTAATTCGGATTTAAATAGGAAAACGTCGTTAAGCTTCCCCCGTTAAAGGCAACATTATTGGCCACACTTCGATTTTCATCGCTGTGGCCGTTGAATTGTGCAGAAATTACGTGGGAAAACCTACAATGTTAAAGAATGAAACATTGGGCGTATGTTGCCTGGTGTTAGGTACCTATTTACTATCTTAGCGTACTGTCTACCCCAGTTACTCACACAAGTGGAATCTCCGGAAGGTACGTGTGAAACATGGTGTGAAAGGATGTGAACTTTTTCGTTCTGAGCTTCCACATAGAGTAGAGTGTCGATTAACCAGTCCAATTGTCCATATGAGTCATAATTGTCATAGAACACCCAAAAATTATAGTTAATGCAAACGTTACTGTTTAGTGTAATAATCCGAAAACCGGGTTTCACCAAGACCGTATAATATCCACCCCTCAATATTGTTTTTTGAGTCTCTACTGGCAGCCATGTTTGCCAAAGTACGTCCACCGATCTAAATAGCCACTATGCCTCAAAATTTGGGTCGACGTTTTCTGGTGCAAAACTGAAATTCACAATTTTAGACATAAGTGCGCATTGTAAGTACCGAGATTTTACAGGTTTACAGGGTGTGGTTCGTGATTTCCTAAAATGGGGTATACTGGTACATCTCCGAAGCAACTCAGTATACACCTTGGTGATTTCGGTAATACTTCCGATTTGGCTTGTATCATACACCACATGGGCAACGATGTCGCCCGTGAAATAAACATACGAGATGTCTTTCTGAAATGAATGAATAATCTTTTTGATCTGGACATACGTGTTGTTGTCTAACATGTGTTAGTAGGTCGGCAAATGAGCGCCACGGAACATCGCAATCGCGATAATCACCCCAATATCCGGCTCCAGTCGATTCTGGACTGGGCACGGTACCGATTTGACAACAAATTCATAAACCGCAATCGGCATTCGATCCCGCTTCATAACGAGAGTCGTAGTGTATATCGGTGACATGAAGTATTTTTACCGAGTCACTCTGCGTGTCCTAAAATTTGGACGATTCAATTTGTTTTGTTAAAATCGTGGGTCTTACATCAGGGAGGTTATTCTGCGCCTGAGGTTCGTAAGGCGGAAGATCAAGGTCCCATTCCCGTCCAAAGCGGTCCTGACAGTGTAGATCTTGAAGTAAAATCGAACATAGGTACTTTGCTAGGTCTTAAAAATGGCGTGTTGTCTATAATGTATAGTATAGTATCCATGTTCAGCTTAATGAATCCTCTGCATTCTTCTTCTGGAGCCATTTTCGATACGATACAGAGTTCGGAAATAAAAAAAATTACATCTTTTGGAGTTTCTATCCTCCGCATCGTTATAACTACACCTATAGCAATTTTGCAAAATGTACACTCAAGCGGCTCAAATAGGC